TCAAAGGGGGTTTCTCTTCTTCCTTTGCCCAGATTCCAAATGTTGGAAGGACCCTAGGGCTCAGTTCTGACCACTCTTCCTTTCTCTATCTACATGTCTCCTTGGATGAGCTCATCCATTCCCATGGCTTTAAATGTCATTAACATTTATCTCTGGCCCAGACCTCTCCTCTGAGCTCCAGACTCACATATCCAACTGTGGACTTAGACTCACATGTCCAACTGTGGACTTGACACCTCCACTTCTACATCTCATAAGCATCTCAAACTTAAAATGTGTAAAACCGAATGTAATTCCCAGCCCCCTCCCCTAACAAAAAGCCCAGGTCATTTCCTAGTTTTCCCAGCTTGGTCAGTGGCACCACTATTCTCCCACTTGGGAGTCCTCTGGGGCTCCTCCCTCGTCTTCATCTTCAGACCCAACCCCACCAACTCGCTCTGTCGACTCTATTCAGATCTATCACTCTCTCCATCTACACCATTGTCACCACCCTGATCAAAGTCACCATTATCTTTCTGTTCTCTAGCGTAACCACTGAAATGTACAGTCCCAGAAAGGCCAGTGTTCCATTCTCACTTCCTGACAATCCGTCTTCTGCACAGCAGCCAAATGGGCATTTCGAGCATAAATCAGAGCATGCCATTCCCATGGTTAAAACCTTCCAATGGCTTCATATTTGAACTTAAAATTCAAACTTCTTATTGTGGCACACAAGACCCTGAGTGTCTGGCCCTTGCTTATTTCTCAGACCTCATCGTACATAACTCATCCTCTCACCTATTTTCTTTGCTCCAGCCACACTTGGCTGTTAATTTCTCAGACACATCATTCCTTGCTCTTGGCCTTTGTTCTGGCATTTTTCATGCCTGAAATCTTCTCCCCGCCCCGATCTTAGCATGACTTGTTCTTCCTAGTCCTTCAGGCCTCCTAGTCTCGTCTTCAAATTGCCCCCTCCAAAAGGCCTGATCACCCTGTATCGATAGTTGCCCTGTTACTCTTTCAGCTTCTTATTGTTTCCTTCAAAATAATTGTCTTTGTTTTGTTTACTTACTTGTTTACTGTCTGCTCCCTCATGAGGCCGTGGGCTTTGTGAAGTTCGGCCATGTGTTTCATGCTTGCCACTGCGTCCCGAAGGCCAGCACTATGCCTGGCATAGATAGTGTAACATAAATGTCTGTGGCCTGAATGGTGGAATGGATGAAGGAGTGAGTGACTGGTAGGAGAGGAGCTGGGGTCTCCAGGCTGTGGATGGATATTCTGGTTGATATCTCCCCCGCACCTTGCTTCTTAGAGCGGCCACTGCACCCCAAGGAAAGGGTCCTGGAGCAGGCCCTGCAATGGTGCCACCTCCCAGAGCCCTGCTCAGCCTCTTTGCTCTTGAGAAAAGTCTCCCTGGCCCAGGCCAGCTGCCTTTTTACAGGTGAGCCTCCTCCTTCGGCCCAGCACCCCTAGGCCGCCTCTCCCCTAGAACCTTCCGCTGAGCACTGCCCCACTGTGCCCAGGTGTCCGGCGGGAGAACCCCAGGTTGGGGCTTTTGCGGTGTCGTGAGGAGCCACCCCGCTTGCTGGGAAACCGCTTCCAGGAGAGGTTCTTTCTGCTGCGTGGCCGCTGCCTGCTGCTGCTCAAGGAGAAGAAGGTGGGGCCCGGGGGCGAGTGGGGACAGACATTGGGTGGCCGTGTGGGAAGAGCCATGACCACATTGACCCTCTCACTTCACAGCCCATACAGTCATCAATCTCACTTCTTCTCTGGCCTTCTGACCCTGTGATCACATAACCCCAGTGCTTCCGTGACTTCTCAGCCTCATGAACCGTGATCCTTCTCTCACCTCTCAACCTCATTGACTCTGTCCTTGTTTGCAGAGCTCCAAACCAGAACGGGAATGGTCTTTGGAAGGTGCCAAGGTCTACCTGGGGATCCGTAAGAAGTTAAAGCCTCCAACAGCGTGAGTTGGCTCCCCAGACCATCCTTCTAGGACTTTCCTGTCACCACCCCTCTGGCCTTTCCGATCACCCCATCATTGTTCTTTCCCTCCTAGATGGGGCTTCACGTTGATACTGGAGAAGATGCAACTGTGAGTATTTCTCAGTCTAGATTCTCCTGTGGCCTAACCCTGCCCCTTGCCCTCCATCTCCTTGCTTTTTCTGTCCTCAGTCCCTATAGCTGTGACCTTTTCCCTTCGCCTAAATTCCCCTCTGATTACTCCCAGATACCTGTCTTGCACTGATGAGGATGAGATGTGGGACTGGACCACCAGCATCCTCAAAGCCCAGGTAAAGAAAGGAGAGCTGAGGGATAGCTCTGTGGTCCAAGCTCTGTCCTCGGTACCTCCCATGCCCACCTGTGCCAACTTCTTCCCCTCCCTCCAGCATGATGACCAACAGCCAGTGGTCTTACGACGCCGTTCCTCCTCAGACCTCGCCCGTCAGAAGTTTGGCACCATGCCTTTGCTGCCCATCCGTGGGGATGACAGCGGGGCCACCCTCCTCTCTGCCAATCAGACCCTGGTGAGATACCAGCCTGCCCCAACCCCCTCCTGATCCCTGCCCGTACCCTCGCCGCACTGCAGGAGGGAGCAGTGCACCTATCAACCAGGTGCCCCCGCTCTGCCTTCTCTGTGCCCCTACTCTCCACCTCCTGTTGCCAGGCCTCACCGTGTCTGTGTCTCTCCCTCCCCTCATCCCCATTCCACCTGTGCCCAGAGGCGACTTCACAACCGGAGGACCCTGTCCATGTTCTTTGTGAGTACTGTGCCTGCTCCACCGTGTCCCTGTCAGCGCTCTATTCCTCTGTGCTGCCTGAGCCAGTGTGCCCTCTTTGTTTGTCCTGATGCAGGCCATCAGCAGGCGTGTGTGTGTATAGGAAAGAAAGAGAGTGCATGAGAGAGCGTTGGGGCCAGAAAGAGTGAAGAAAATGAGGGATGATAAGATGTGGTAAGGAAAGGGGGAAGTGGTTACAGGATCTGAGAAGCAGAAGGAAAGTGGTTAAGCGAATGCATTTTGGAGTCAGACAGACCTGAGTTCAAGCCTCACCTCTACCATTTACTCTGTACCTCAGTTCACTCACTTGCAGTGCAACTCATTGTACAGAGTTGTTTTGATATCATACCTACAAAGTATTCTGCAGCATCTGGCTGAGAAGAAGAGCTCAGTAAATGATAGTGATTAATAATCTAATAACTCTCTTTCTCTGCCAACTAATTCCCATCCAGCCGATGAAATCATCCCAGGGGTCTTTGGAAGAACAAGAGGAACCGGAGGAGCCTGTGTATGAGGAGCCAGTGTACGAGGAAGTGGGGGACTTCCCCGAGCTGACCAAGGACACCTCTACCTCCTTCTCCACCACACGGGAGCAGACTGCCAAACCAGAAACCCTCCTCGCCAGCCAGAGGCCCTCTGATCAACCCCTTCTCTCCAAGGCAGGCACCCTGGGCCCAGAGGAGATGCCACCTGAGCTGCCCCTGGGCCCAACTTCAAAGGACAGCTCCCAGGAACATTTGTCCCTGGAGGAACAGCTGCTCCAGGAGCTCAGCAGCCTTATCCTGAGGAAGAGTGAAACCACCATAGGCCTGCGCAGCCCCTCCCAGCCCTCCAGCCCCCAGCCCCCGAGCCCGAACAGCCTTCCAACACAGACACCTGGCTTCCCCACCCCACCTCCTTGCACTTCCAGTCTACCCTCCAGCTAGCCCCTCACATAACCAGCAGTCTGAGGGTGTAGGTAACCAAGAGACCCAAGCTCTCACTATGGCAGACACTATTGAGACCTTCCTCTGCCCTGTCTGGAAAGACTCTAGAATCCAGTGTGGTGCTGTGGAAGGAACACAGGACCAAGGGCTCCGGAGGCTGTGTCCTGCCCAGAGATGAGGAGGTTGTGGCCCTTCTCTGGGTCTCCCCACTCACTTGTCTGTACCAGAAAGTAACCGAAATGAGCCGTGAATGTAAAACTGTTTCGTACTCCCCACATATCTCCCTCAACAAGGGCAACTCCTGCTTTATATATTTGATATGTAGGCATTCTGTGAGAGATTTTGGGTTTGAAAAGAATGGTTTAGGTGCATTAAAGAGAAAAAAAAAGACCTGAAAGCCAGAAATCTGAAGGAACTCCAAGTCTGTTTTACCCCACCTCCTACGTTTGGCGACTATTCTGAAGCCCTAGAGTGGGGAGGTTGATTGGGGTTGGTGGCAAAGAGGAGCCAAAAAGGATGGGTCACTGTTTGTAAAGCTTAGAACCAAAAGGCTGCCAACCTTTTATTTATTCATTCATTCATCATTCATTCATTTATTCAACAAATATATATTAAGCACCCGTGTAGTACCAGGTATTAGTGATACAGTATGAACAAAACAGACAGTTTTATGGAGCTTCCATTGTAGAGAGGGATCAGAAAACAATACACACATTCAGTGCTGTGAAGAAAATAAACCAAAGTGATGTGCTTGTGGAGGGGGTCTTTAGGCTGGATGGATGGGGAAGGCCTCTGTGAAGAGCTGAAACTTAAAGGTAAGCCAGACATGTGGAGTGCTGGGAGAGGGAACACTCCAGAAAGAGAAGGAAAGCAGCAGGCATGAAGACTGCAGTGGGAAAAGACTTGTTCTGCTGGGGGAAAAGCAAGGAGGCTGGAGTGGCAGAACAGTGAGTGAGGAGCAGAAGAGCGTGGGCTGAAGGGAGAAACACAGGCAGGGGCCCAATTGTGTAAAGCCCTGTATACTATGCCAGGGCGTTTGGATTTTATTCTGAAGCCATGGAGGAGTTTTAAAGAAAACGGTGATGAGATCTTATTTCTTTTTATTTTTAAAAAATTTATTTTTTATTTTTAAAATGCGATCACTGTTTTACAAACGGTGGGTCCTAACAGGGAAGACTGGAAGCAAGGAGACCAGATATTAGACCAGGAGACTGATAATGGGGGTTTGGACTAGGTTTGTGATTTTGGAAATTGAGGGAAGTGGATCAATTGGAGATATTATTTAGAAACAACTTATAGGATTTGCTGATGGATGGAATGTGACGGTAGAAGATAGGGAACACTGACTCTTTCCGACTTTCCCAACTGGATAGAGAGTGGGGCCATTTAGTTATGTTACCTGGGGGAGGTGACTGCGGAAGGATCAGGTCGAAGGGACTGTTTTAAAAGTTTAAGGTGTCTATTAGATATACAAGTGAAGGTGTCAGTGGCTGTTGGAAATGTGAATCCGGAGTTTGGGGCCTTCTCCAAGTCGGGGGTGTGGTGACAAGCATGGGCGAAGGATCCACGGTGAGGTGGGTGAGGAAAGGGTATGCGAATCCTCTGAAAGCTGCATCGAATGAAGCTGGTGGATTCCGGGGTCCAGAGCCTGGAGGGCAGACCCTAAAGTTGATTGGTGTTTTCTGGGCTGCAGACCCTACGCTCATCTCCCAGCTCATACCCACTCACCGGTACCCTTCCGCTTCCACGGGCCCAGAATGTGCCTTCTGGAACTAGTTCCTTCCGGGCTCCAGGCGTCTTTCTCACCTCCGCTTGCTCTGGCTTTTCCAGTTCAGTGGGAACTGCCCTGTTTCCCTAGTCAGACGCATCTTCGCTCAGGCATCTAGTGACTCAGTTTACCTGGTCACAGAGTGAGTTCCTCGCCATTCTTCACTCTACGAGCCGAGACGAGAGATCTGCATATGTAAATGAATAATTAGAAATAATTACGGGCTGAGTCAGTGGCTCCACTAGAAATGGAACCCAGGCGTCTTGACTCAGAAACCTGGAGTTCCCCCTACCTCCCAGGGGACGCAGCGTCCACTCCGCGGCCCGGACCCTTTCTAGGATATTCCAAGCAGCGACAGAAGTTTAGATCCTCTTCGGGCCCCAGCGCCTCGCGGCCCCACGCGCTGCGGGACCAGACGTGTGCGGGGAGGGGGCGGAGCCGGGCCAGACGGGGGCGGGAAGGGGGCGGAGCCGGGCGGTCCGGGCGGGGTTTCAGCGTAGGCGGAGCTTCCTCGAGTTCCGGAGTCGAGTCGCTGCCTGGGCCGCAGCAGGGATGCAGCCGCCACCCCGAAAAGTGAGCTTTGCCTGGGAATGGGGACTTCTGGCGGGCTGAGGGAATGGTGGGGACCAAAGAGGCACTGGAGTCGCGGTGGAGGACGAGAAGTGGGAAAGGGTCAGGGCCCGACCCCAAAGTAACCGAGGAAACAGCCCAGCCCCTCCCTGATCCCGCCTCCTCACCGCTGCCTGCGCGGAGTGCTTTTCCGGTCTCCGCGCCGGGGGGTCTTCATCCTTTTCTTACTCCCTAAGGTGAAGCCAGCCCAGGAGGTGAAGCTTCGCTTCCTGGAGCAGCTGAGCATCCTCCAGACCCGTCAGCAGAGGGAGGCGGATCTCCTAGAAGACATAAGGTAGCCCCTGACCCCTCGACATACCCAAATCTTCGCGGTTGCGAAGATGTACCTTCGAGGTACATCTTGGGGTGGGCGGGAAACTGGGATGAAGAACTCTCCATCCTGCCCACTAACAGTCCTCATCCCACGCTTGCCTCTCCAGATACCAGATAGGAATTATACTTCCTCCCATCGCAACAAACATATAACACACCGGGACCCTCCCTCAACTCCCTTGACTCCACACCACTCCCTCCACCCCTACAATCAAGCTTAGGGCATAATTCTTCCCTCCCTTTTCCAGACCTATTGGAAGGCTGGTGGACACTGTACCCAAGTCCCCATCAGTCTTTACCTCCAATCCTTCAGGGGTGGGAAGGATCCTACCGAGGCTCTGAGTAGTGAGGTGAGGTTGTCCTGTGTTGTGGCTGCCTGAGGTGATCGCAAGGACTCTCTCTTCAGTCTCATTCCCTCCTGGTGTAGTCACATTCTAGGCCTCTCTCCCCCTTCGTCTTGCCCAGGCTGAGGAGAGGATTGGGAGTGGGAGAAAAGACCAAACAGTAATACCACCGTCCTAATCTCCACAGATCCTACAGCAAGCAGAGGGCTGCCATTGAACGGGAGTATGGGCAGGTATGGGACGACTTTCTCTGGACCTTCCCTTCTGTTCTGGTCTCTTCTACACCACCAGCAATGTCCCACCACACATACACCTGTTCTGGCCAAGAGCAAATCCTAGTAGGGCAGATTTGCATCAAGTCCCTGCTGTGCTACTTATTAGATGTGTGACCTTGAACAATGTACTACTTACTCTTCTTGGCCTCAATTCCTTCTCTGTAAAATGGGAATAACAATAACTGTACCTTCATGTAGGGTTGTTATAAAAGGTGGAATAAGTTAATGCATATATAAAGCACTTATAGAGTAAGAAGCACATGATACACTTCCAGTGAATAGCATAATTAATCTCTGATCCCGTATTCTCCCAATTGGGAGGAGTCTTTGAAAGGAAACTGGGTCTGTGATGACTTTCCCACCAGGCACTCCAGAAACTGGCTGGGCCATTCCTGAAGAGGGAAGGGCACCGGAGTGGAGAGATGGACAGCAGGTGGGTCCCATGGAGGGAGAGGCCAAGGGACCTAGAAGGGATGAGGAGCTCAACAGCTCAACCCCAGGATGCTGCTGGGATGAAGGCCCAGCGAGGGGGGAGGACATGTGAGCTTCAGGTAGAGCTGACACAGCAGTGGGAGAGGAACTGACCGAGCAAGGACACTGTGGAGAGCATGAGTGATCCTTGTGGCTGAGCTAATGGGCTGATCGATTGATGGGCTCCCAGATGAAGGGGATGGGAAAACACTCTGTCTCCCATGGTGTTAGGGGGGTGGGGTGTCTTGTGAAGCTTTGGAGTGCTCCCCTCCTCAATACAGACCTTCTCTGGGGAGAGGCAGGATGGTGTTTGGTGCCTGGCGCTGTCTGCTGGATGCCACCGTGGCTGGGGGCCAAGCCCGGCTCCAGGCATCTGACCGATACCGTGACCTGGCAGGAGGCACAGGGCGGAGTGCCAAGGAGCAGGTGCTTAGGAAGGTATGGCTCAGTGGATGAGGTGAAGGAAGGGCTGGCTCGAGGCTGGAGGTGGTCTGGGTCAAGACTCTGTGTGTCCATGCCGCTAGGGAGCAGAGAACCTCCAGAGGGCACAGGCCGAGGTGCTGCAGTCTGTCCGGGAGCTGAGCCGAAGTCGGAAGCTGTATGGGCAGCGGGAACGTGTGTGGGCCTTGGCGCAGGAGAAGGCAGCTGATGTCCAGGCCAGGTGAGGTCATAGTGAGTTAGTACACCTTGGAGTGGGGGTGAGGGCAGTGGTGCCAAGGAACCACAGCCAGGCCTGACCTTGACTTCTTTCCCTTGCTGGCACAGGTTGAACCGAAGTGATCATGGACTCTTCCACACTCGCACCAGTCTTCAGAAACTTAGCACCAAGGTTCGGGGATGCAGACATGAGTGGGGGCAGGGAAGAGGTAGGCAGACTAGTCTAGTGGTTTGGAACCCAGGGGCATAAGTCTGAGAGACTGGGATGAATCCAAGCTTCTCTACTTGCTTGGTGAGTGACCTTGCTTAACTTGATCTCTCTGAGCCCCATTTTATTCATGTATAAAGTAAAAATAATACTTTTCGTTTTCATTCCTTTAATATGTATTTACTGAGAATTTCTGTGTACTAAGCATTGTTCTAAACACTGGGGATACAGTAGAGAACACTATTAATGGAATTCCTGCCCTCACAGCCTGATGAGGGGAGACAGATAGTAAACAAACAAATAAATAGTTAGACTAAATGAAAATAAAACAAGGAGCTATGATAATGGGTAATGAGGGGATATAATTTAGGGGGAAAGCCTCTCTGAACAGGTAGGCTGAGTGTCAAGAAGGAGCTGACTATGCAAAGATCTAGGGGAAGAACAGTCTAGGGAGAGGAAATGGTGAGTAGAAAGGCTCTGAGGTGGGAATAACTTTATAGGTTCGAGGAACTCAGAGGAGGCCAATGTGGTTGGAGCACTGTGAATAAGGGGACAAGCACTGTGAACAGAGGTCAGAGAGGTTGCAGGGGCCAGCTCCTGTTGGACCTGGTAGACCACGGTAAGGAACAGTTGGGTTATTATTTTAAATGTATACAGATGGCACTAGAGGTATTTGAGCAGGAATTGTGAGTATATAAAGTTTTTAGTATATTGTCAGGCATCTCAATAATGTGAGAGAATCCATTCTGGAGCTGGGTTGGCCTTGGAAGGACTCCAGGGGTCCAGGACTCCCTATTGATACCTTATTTTCCCTTCCTAGCTGACTACCCAATCAGCCCAGTACTCCAAGCAGCTGAGAGCAGCCCGCAATGAGTACCTGCTCAACTTGGTGTCCACCAATGCTCACCTTGACCACTACTACCAGGAGGAACTGCCAGCCCTGCTCAAGGCCAGTCCCAGTCTAGATCCCCCTGCCTCTCAGTGGGGAGGGAGGAGAGGACCTCTCCCTGCTCCCTACCACCAGCAGGCTGTGTGGGGCCAGGGAACCTAGCCTGCTTAGAGTGGGTAGAAAATAGATACCTGGGTTCGGGTTCTGCTTCTAGCTGGCTGTATGACCTCATGTAGAACATTAACCCCTTTGAACTCTAGTTTCTTCATCAGGGATAACCCCTGCTGTGCCTACTTTTTAAGACTAATGGGGCTCAAGGAAGAGAATGGACATGAAAATGCTTTTTTAAATGGTTAAGTGCTGTGCACACTGAGGACCTATTATTAGAAGCAATAAGGACTTATTCCTTCCCTTTTCCCCATACTTCATGCCCATTACCCATCCAAATTTAGACAGAGAGCCTGCTCTGTGGTAGAGGCCTAGGGGAAAGGTGGTGTCAGTATCTTGGGGTTCTTTCCAGGCCCTGGTCAGTGAGCTTTTGGAACATTTGAGGGACCCCCTAACCTTATTGAGCAGGACTGAGCTGGAAGCTGCAGAAATGGCCCTGGAGCATGCCCGCCATGGAGCACAGGCAACTTCCCAGGTGAGGGCTGTGCCCTGTAAGAGCCCCCCAGAGATCCTCTCTTCCTTTCTCTCCCAGTACAGACCACCCCACTGCACATCTGCCCTTTTCCTTCTCGTTTGTCCTCTTTATTCCTAGAGGGGATAGGCTTGGAGAGGGAGCCAGTGTGTGACTGACTGTGACTTCTTCCAACCCCCAGGTAAGCTGGGAGCAGGATGTGAAGCTCTTTCTGCAAGAGCCTGGGGTATTTTCTCCCACACCACCTCAGAAGTTTCAGCCAGCAGGGAATGATCAGGTGAGACCTCCTTGCTTGTTGGAACAAGGCTATATGTAAACAGGACTGTAGTGTAGGTCTCTCGCCCATTATTCTTGTCCTGATACTAACTTAGTGACTGTTAAACCATGGAGAGGGGGTTTCAGAACTCCAATTTACCTCCTTCCTACCAGGACACAAATTAACGCACTTCATTCTACCTTTATGGCCACTGCACTATTCTCTTTTTTTCTACTTCTGCCTCTCATCCTGGATCCCATTTCTGGGACTCGTTATGTCCATGTGTTCACATGAACGCACACCTGTGTCCATGGACATAGGTGTGTGCTTCCACCTCTTTTTCCCTGTCCCTGGATGTCAGGACAGAGAGAAGAAAAAAAGACAAGAACTAGAGGGACGGGGAATAGAAAAGGAGCAGCATTAGGCCTGCTTCACAGTATCCCTGTTCATTCAGGTATGTGCCCTGGAGCTGGAGGGGGTTGCAGGAGATGTGGCTGGGGAGAGTGACCTGGAGAAAGAGGTTCAGCGCTGGACAAATCGAGCTGCCCGAGACTACAAGATCCAGAACCACGGGCTTCGGGTGAGGTGGGGAGTGCAGGTGTTGTGGGTGGACAAGAATAGCTGAGAATGGGGATCCCGGAGTCACTGAGGATGTCTTGAGGCTGCAGGCTGGAGAGGAAGGAATGGTATTTTAAGCCAACAGTGTGGCATAGTAGTTAAGAGCACAGCTTTGGAGCTAGACCCACCTGGGTTCAAATCCCGCTCTGTTGCTTCCTAGTTATGTAACCCTGAGTAATGGAGTGACTTTACCTCTCTGGACCTCAGTTTCCTCATCATTAAAGTGGGTCTAATAATAGCATCCACCTCATAGGGAAGATGAAATGACATAATGCAGGTGAAGCCACTAGCAAAGTGCCAGGTCCATGGTAAGTTATGCCCCATATCTCCATCTGCCCTTGTCCTCTGCCTTCCCAACCAGGTCCTGCAACGGCTGGAGCAGAGGCGACAGCAGGCTCCAGAGCGGGAGGCTCCAGGCATAGAGCAGCGGCTGCAGGAAGTGAGGGAAAACATCCGGCGGGCACAGGTGAGGCACAGCCATTGGGGTTGGGGCCACTGAGATCCTACCACCTCAGGTAACACTTTCCTACACTCCTCTGTCTGATGGTAGGGTGAGGGGAGGCTGTGGTAGAGGGTGGACATATATGGGAAGGCTCCACTCACCTCATGAAGGCAGGCCCAGCCATAGCCTTGATTGAACCCTCTTCCCCATGCCAGGTGAGCCAGGCGAAGGGGGCTGCCCGGCTGGCCCTGCTGCAGGGGGCTGGCCTGGATGTACAGCACTGGCTGAAGCCAGCAATGACCCAGGCCCAGGATGAAGTGGAGCAGGAGCGACGGCTCAGTGAGGCCCGGCTGTCCCAGAGGGACCTCTCTCCCACGGTGAGCTCCCTCTGCTCCCTACCCACCCAGGAGGGTAAAACTCCCCAGTGGAGGGCAAACACTATAAAAGGAATCATAGCAGCACTTAAATCAAAGAGTTGTTCTGAGGCTTAAATGAAATCATTTAAGTGTAATTCTTTGCATAGTTTATAGCATAGAGTGTTCATGACAAACTTGTATTACAAATATAAGATGGTGGTTATGAGCTAAGGTTCCGAGGGCAGACTGTAAGCAGTTCGAGTACCAGCCACTCACTTATTAGCTGTGTGATCTTGGAAAGTGACGTTCTGAGCCTCAGTTTCCTCATAAGTAAAATGAAATTAATAGTTTTACAAAATAACACTGGGTTATTATGAAGATTAAATGAGACGATATACATAAGATACTTAGCACTGCGCCTGGCACAGAGCAAATGCGCAGTACTCTAACTCTGTGGCCATTGCTAGTGTAACAATGCTTTGTGGTAATTTTGCTTGTGATACCTTGTGAATGGATAGGTGGTACTACTTTGGAGGAGGATCCACCAAGTTCTTTATGGTAGAATGGAGGGAGGGGGAGATACAGTGGGTACTTGAGAGTGACAGTGATGTCTGTTCTCTGCCCCACCTCCCCAGGCTGAGGATGCTGAGCTGTCTGACTTTGAGGAATGTGAGGAGACAGGGGAGCTCTTTGAGGAGCCTGCTCCCCAAGCCCTGGCCACCAGGCCTCTCCCCTACTCTGCACATGTGGTGTTTGGCTATCAGGTGTGAATGGGGGTGGGAACCTGAGACGGGCAGGGATGGGGGACCACTAAGTCCTGAATCCTTCCTTGTGGGGCCCAGGCAGGGCGTGAGGATGAGCTGACTATCACAGAAGGCGAGTGGCTGGAGGTTATAGAGGAAGGAGATGCCGACGAATGGGTCAAGGTGGGTATGGACCCTGGGCTCTGACTTTGGGTGGTGGGAACAGTGGGAGGAACTACTCTGTGGCCCACAGACAAAGCTAGAAGCCTAAGTGGAGGAGGGCCAGGGCTGTGAACTGCTGAGGCAAGTCCGTTATCTGTTCTCATTGCTGGTGAGCAGGCTCGGAACCAGCATGGCGAGGTAGGCTTTGTCCCTGAGCGTTATCTCAACTTCCCAGACCTCTTCTTCCCTGAGAGCAGCCACGATAGCAACAATCCCTCAGAGCCCACAGGTAAGAAAAGAAAATCCTGGGTTGGGATGCTGGTTATGGAGAAGAGTTACTGAGTGGTTGTGACCCTGAGGTGTAATGGTCCTGGGGGTCCACTGCCACCTCCTACCCTCACCATCTCTCCTGGGCTTTTGCAGCATTCCTGGCCCGTGCCCTGTACAGCTACACGGGACAGAGCGCAGAGGAACTGAGCTTCCCCGAGGGGGCACTCATCCGCCTGCTGCCCCGGGCCCAGGATGGAGTAGATGATGGCTTCTGGAGGGGAGAATTTGGGGGCCATGTTGGGGTCTTTCCTTCCCTGCTGGTGGAGGAGCTTCTTGGCCCCCCAGGGCTACCTGAATCTTCAGATCCTGAACAGGTAAGGCTTCCTGCTCCCTGGGTCCCCAGGCACCTCTGGCTTGACTCTCCTACCCCAGCAAGGCCCCATATTCATTTTAATGCCCCCTCCCCTCCCCAGTTGTACCTCCTGTGGTGGCTTGGGCCTCCCCATCTGTTTTAGCTGGACCGAGAAAAGGGAAACCAAGGCAGTCTTAATAAGAGTTTGGTGGTGCTACTTTAGTGCTAGATAGATCCGAGTTCATTAGATTTCTATTGTGTCACCTTGGGCAGTGATTTGAGCTTATTTCTTCACACGTAAAAGGAATAGTAATACCTACTTCAGCAGGCTAACTATCCTGATTATGGATAATGGAGGTAAAGCTCTTAGCACAGTGGCCCACAAGAAGTGCTTTAAAATACGGTACTCCCCCCACCCCCCAAAATAAGTAAGTAAAGTAAAATAAAATACGGTACCTATTGTTATAATGCAGCAGGAAGAGTGTAGGAATGGGAGTCAGGAGACCTGGGCTCTAGCCAGGACTCTGCCACTAACTGGGTCCACGGTTTTGGATAGATGGCTTACCCTGAGTCTTGCCTTTAAGAGAGGAACCGTAAAAATCCCTACCTCCTAGGATGGTGGTGAGGAATGAATTGGTGCATGTGAAGTGAGACAGAATCCTTAGGGCATAATAAGTGTCAATACATATTGGCTGTTGAAATGTATGTAAGCTACAGTTCCCACCCAGAGACAAACATTTGGCCTCTCTCCGGATTGGGGAGTGATGGGACAGGAATTGAAGATGGGATGAAAGGACAAACTGGGGAAACCTTCCCAGATGCCAGAAATAACTGCGCCCCCTCGTCCCCAGATGCTGCCATCCCCTTCTCCTCCCAGCTTCTCCCCTCCTGCACCCATCTCTGCCTTGGATGGGCCCCCCACACCTGTCCTGCCTGGAGGTGAGTAGAGGAAACTAGAGGACTTGGGAGGGGAAGGGGCAGGAATAAGGCTTGACTCTCCTACCCCAGAAACTTGGGGCTCCTGGGTTACGCTTAGCTCCTCTTCCCGCCCTTGGGAACCTCTTCCATCAGGCTCACTGAAGCATGATGGTAAGAAGAGCTTGGGCTGTGGAGCCAGACCCACTGTTCAGACTCGGCTCTGTGACTTCCTTGTATGTGATTTGGGGCAAGACGTTTAACCTATCTGGGCCTTTACAGAGTAAGGAGAAAGGTTCCTATCTCACTGAGTTATGTTAAGAGAATTAAAAAGATGTCTGTAGAGTGCCCAGCATTGTGTTTGGCACGTAGTGAGCATGCAAGCAATAGCTGTTTTCTCATTATTTTTAAAATTAGCCAGTCTTTTCCCAATACACATTTTCTCCTCTTAGTGTTTTTGAATCTTGCAAACACCTTGGTTTGTGTAATCATTTTCCTTCTTAGAATATTCACCTTCCCTAAAGCCATCCGGTACTTACACTTTCTTTGCAGAGCCTCCCGCCTTGATCCTGGATCCCTTTGAGCATGCTCTGTACCCACTCCTGCAGCACCCATAGTTTACTTTGAATGATTTAGCACTCAGTCTTTCATTGTGCTTGTTGGTGTTTCATTATTGGGTTCCTTACAGCCATTTGGAGTAGGGTGCTGTGGATCCCACTTCTTCTCCTCTGGTACCCTGAGCAGGGCTGATTATACGGCAGGTGTCCAATAAGTGTTGAGGATGGATAGGTTGATGGATTTTATGTCCCAGGTTGGTGACTATTCATTAATTCAACAAATATTTACAGAATGCCACTGTCGCAAGTGCTGAAGATATAGCAGTGAACAAAACAAAGTCTGAAGACTGACTTGTGGTTCTTGTTTCCAGACCAAGACCTAGACTGCTCTGGACCCCTGGACATGATGGTGCCCCGACTCAGGCCGGTAAGGGTCCCTCCCTTGGAGGAGATTGTGTGGGGAGGGGTCATTCCAATTTGTCCTGTTTTGTCTTCAGGGCTGAGGGAAGGGACATAGATATCCTCAAGGGAGATCTCTGGAGCACTGACGGTCTATTCCCTACAGATGCGACCGCCACCTCCCCCACCGGCTAAAGCCCCGGATCCTGGCCACCCAGATCCCCTCACCTGAAGCCAGGGGGATCACTGACCCCTAGGAATGCTGCTGCTGCCCCTTCTCCATGCTGTCAGAGATCACCCCTCAGTGATCTGGAGTGACATAGCCAAAAGCTGGACTCTCTCCACTTTCCATTCTCCCCACTTCCAGGGCTGGAACCCACTCTTCTTTTCCTCCATCATTAGACCTCCTGCTATCTCTATGGCTGGAACTACTCCTGTCTCTTCTGCCACTACCCCATCTCCAGGGTGGTGAAATACCCTGAAATCTCTGGGGCTGGGCCCCATCCCCCAAAGTCTTAAGTGGCTCTGGCCCATCTATATCTCCACTCTGGCTCTGTGACCCATCCCACTCCAGGTGCCAGGACCATGGATGCTGGGGGCCAGAACAGGGGCAGACCTGTCAGAAGGAGTTGGAGCCAGTATGCGAAGCAACTGTAATGGTCTGAGCGGATTTATTGACAGTGAATAAAGGGCACGAAGCCCAAGCCAAGGCCTGGGCCTCTTGTGCCAAGAGGGCAAGGGGCCTAAGGTGCTATTGCTTTAGGGGCCCACCAAGGGCAGGGGCCTGGTCTCAGCTGCCACGCTCTACCATATGGAGCCAGGTGATGGGGAAGGCGGGTCAGGTGACCTGTTGGCAGGCAGGGGAAGGGGAAAAGATTAAGGGCCAGGGGTCAGGGATAGGCTTCTCCCAAGATAGCCTAGCCTGAGACCATGCAACTCCAGGTAGAAGTAGGACTGGTCTTTCAGCTGGGGCACAGTACTGTCCAGTGGAGGAGAAGGGCTTAATGCCTACCCACCCCCTGGCCTTGCCAGCCAATAGTCCTTCAGCGCAATGAAGAAAGAGGCTTGGAAGGGAGGAAAGGTAACAATGTCACCTCCTATTCAAGCTGTGTTCTAGCCGTTTTCCCTGGGGGCTGTAGGACCTTCCCTATCCCCTGGAGCACATGCTCACTCCCTACCACCACACCAAGGAATCTGTAGCAAAGGCTAAGCCTTCACTTTACCCTGTGGGTATAGGGAGCGTAAGGGCTTAGGTAGTATAAATAGGGGGTGGGAGGATGAGATTACTTGACTTGGAGCCCAGGCAGACTCACCTCACACACCCCTTGCTTCCCGTGCTGGAGACACCTGAGAGAGAGGAGTCAACAATGGGAGAACAGGATGTAGGTCATATCAGTGCACCCCCATCCCCAGAGTAGGGTGCAATAAGAGCACAGCCCACCGCAGCCCACTGCAGCCCTGGCCATGACTTCATACCTGGTGATCTGAGGTGTCTAGTTTGCTTGGCTGTCCTTTTGCCTCTTGACTGGACAGCCTTGGGCTTGGGACCCTCACTCCAGCCCCCAAGGTCAGCTCTGCAGAGGCTCCAGGATTTCCCCCAAGTGCACAAGGGACTAGGCTGCTGTCCCTGAGTCTTCCATTCTGCACTGAGGGGCTGGCGAGGGCCTGGGACTGTGGCCTCTCAGGGGGCAGGCTCTCAGTGGGCAGCATCCCTGCCCTAGGCTGTCCTCCCCCAGACCCCTGACTGCCCCCCGGGTCCTGCCCACCACCAGACCCCCAGCTCCTGTCTGTGGGAGAGCCGTCACGATGCTCATGCATCCCATAGCGCTTCTCAATGTGTGTCACCCGGAACCTGGGAGGGAAGAGAACACTGGGGCTTAGGACCACAACTCAGAGGCTGCTTGGCCCTTCCCTCCAACCGGGGACATTCTGGGTTTGATGGCCACTTCCCTCTGGGCTAGGGCAGGGGACACCTCAGATTGTGGGGCACATTGTGTAACCTGACTCGTACTGTAGATCACAGTCCAGGAGAAAGGAGCTGGGGTCCACCTCTGGAGCCAGGTGCCTGATCATTGGGTCTCCCACCTCAGCCTCCCTTGCCCTGGGGCACTCTGTGCTTACCTGCCCACAGAGAACACGGTTGTCTCTCCAGGCCGTGGGCGGCTCTTTCCTTCCTTAGAGCGTCCTTGACGGACAAGTGGGGGCCTCTTATTGCGGCTGCAGTGGATGCAAGGGGCTGCAGAGCCCAGGTGCACTGTGTGATGATGGGAGGGGGTTCCATCCTGTAGGCTGGAGGTGGCATCCACACTGGACAGTAGCGAGGAAAGGAGCAGGGGTGACATTCCCATTCGTTGCTGTACTTTCAGTGTGCTCCTTAAACCTCCAGATGCCCACAATCCCCAGGTCTCAATATTCTTGTCTTGTCTTTTTCTAATAAACTCAATATTAAGATGGTAGTGACCATGCGTTCTTCCTTCCAGGGCTGTTTTCTAAAAAGGGCAATGCTTAACCCAGAGGAGTGGTACAAGGCGTGAATGTTAGACTTGATGATATCCAGATAGGAGGTAGGGTTTGAAAGATTTCAACAAAACTTTCTTCCTGTAGGGTAGCCAAACTTGCCCTCTCCCTACCCCAAACATGCAAGGAGACTAGGAGAGGATTGTGCTGAAGGAGAGAGCACTCTCCAAGGCAAGCTAAGTCATGTTGGCCCTTGTTTCGAGCTCACCTGGACAGCTGCACTGTCCCTTCTCCTTCACTGTCCCCCAGCATCTCCTTCAAGGCTTCAGCATTGGCTGAGGGGAGAAAGAAGAGGGAGTCACTGGAGGTGGAGGTCAGGGTAAGAGAAAGTCAAGGAGCTGGGAGCAACAGGCCAGCTTACACCCACCTTCATTTTGGATGATGCAGCGAACAATCCTTTCTACTGTGTCCTCATTCATGTCATCGTCCTCAGCTGAAGGGTGAAAGAGGTTGGCAAGGAAGTGGGAAATGAGTTAGCTTTGGAGGACATTATGAGGTGGCTTCTGTGGTTTACTGCTCAAGACATACCCCTTTGCTTGTTTGCTATCATGCTGAGAAAGTGTTTCAGAGACCAGAGCAGAAAAGATGTGAAAGTTAATGAGAGCCCAAGATCGCTGTCAATGGGCTCTTCCCACTCATGCTGCCGTCTCTAGCCTTGCTTTCAAGGTGGTGTCACCCTACTTGCTGACTCAAGAAAGCATCACTAGGCCTTCTGAAGGCTTGGTTGGGATTTGGCCTGGGTCTGTTGGCCAGGATGGCAGACAGAGGTGTGGGGAGAAGTGTAAGGGAGAAAGATGACTGAGCCAGGTTCTAGGCTCCTCACTCACGGGGCTGGAGCTGGGTGTCATCAGGCTCAGAGCCCCTGGACGTGCGGCAGCGGTAGCCCTTTTTCTTGAGTACGTGGCAGATCATGAAGCCTACAAGGCCCATAAGGAAGAAGACCAGCACAAGCAGGAAGAGCATGTACAGCTCATGTTGGGGTGGCTCCAGGTCAGGCTGTGGTTCCGACATGAGGCCCTGGGGGGCGAGCGCGGGCCAGGGCGCCTCCTGGGGTTAGGAGGCTGCAGCTAGGGATGGGGAAGGGATAGGAATGCCATCCTCAGTATCTGAAACAGGAGAGCCTCGGAGGTCCAGCCCCACCCACTATCCAAACAGGGAGCTGTCCGGACCGTAGGTGCTGGTCCGGGCCAGGGGTGCCAAACCGCGGCTGTGCAAGCCCTCTTCCACGACCCCGTCCCTCTTCCTCGACACCCACAGTGTTCCCTTTTCCAACTGTCCTGCACTTCCGTCCCTCCCAAGGACACTGCAGAGCGAGATGGGACGGAATTCTCAAGCGGCCAGCGCAAGAATCGCGCCTGAGTCAGTGTCCGCACCTCCTCCACGCCGGTCTGACCCAAGCTTCTGCAGTCCCCTCCCTTGCCTGTACTCCAGCACCCCTCTCCTTTCGGGTCCTCCCATCCTGACCACCTGCCCAACCCGGTACCGGTGGTTTGGTTCTGGCTCCGGCTCCGGCTCCGGTTCTGGCTCCAGGGGCTTCCTAGTCCGGCTCAGGGCCCTCGACGCCCTCCCGGTGCTCATCCCTTGCTTCCTTCCCCTCCCCCTTTGCCACCTCACCGGCTCCGGGCTGCAGCTGCAGATACCGGTGCCGCGGCAGGCTGGGGGAGGGAAGGATGGAGAGGGATGCAGGCTGGTTGGGAGCGGTGGCAGGCTCTGGACAACTCTAGCCTCGGGAAAGAGAAACGATGGGGGGCGCTGCCGCAGCCGCCCTAGGTTCCCAAATGCCTTAGCCTGTCGCCGGCCCGGGACCAGGGGGCGGAGCACAGGTGTGCGGGGCGGAGAGTGAAAGCCGTGAGCGCTTGTGAGCGCAAGTGTGGTGTGCGCGTGACTGCGCAGCCCCTCTTCCCCCCCCAACGCGAGTGTGCAGCGCAGAGTCTGGGGCCGGGTGGGATGGATGGATAGTCAGGCGAGAGTGCTCTCCACTGGTCTATTGGCACTTCTGGCTCGGCTCCTGCCCTCAGCTGCCCTGGTTGGGAGGATAGCCGGGCATTTCCCAGTGGGCCGGGGGAAGCCGGCTTTCTGCACTCGAGAGGGGCGATGTGGCCGGTTTTCTGGAGCCTCCTAGAGAGGTCGCCACGGCCTGCGGCCCGTTTGGGGCAGATGGCTGAACCGGATGGCTCAGCTTCTCGAGGATTTGACCCCCACCCGGAAGGAAGTGGCCCTCGCATCCTAGAACCGATGCTACCTGTCCTCCGCCCAAGCCCAGACGCTCAAGCCTCAGAGCCCAGAGGCGAGGCGAGGGGCGGAACTCCGCAGGGGGCGTGGTCTGTGGAGGCGGGACCCAGGACTCCCGGTTCTGCAGAGGCAGGCTGCGTGCTTACGCAGCACGCACGACCGGGGGTGGGGCAGGCGGCCGGGCGGGCAGCGGAGGCGCGGGGCCTGGTCCCGCGGGCAACCATGGCCAAGACTGTGGCCTATTTTTACGACCCAGACGTGGGCAACTTCCATTACGGTGAGGGAACAAGGTGTTATGCCAGGGGTTCCGGGACGCGGAGGTTTCGAGGCTAGGACTACAACTCCAGGGCTGAGGACTGACGAACTCTCTTTTCCCACTCCCAGGGGCTGGGCACCCAATGAAGCCCCATCGCTTGGCACTGACCCATAGTCTGGTCCTGCACTACGGTCTCTATAAGAAGATGATCGTGAGTCCCGCCGCCTCTATTGGGGATTGAGGGTGGGGGCGAGCTGCGGCCCTAAGATAGGTAGGCTGCACCGAGTGAGACCCATCCCAAGAGTGGGGGTGGGGGAGGGCTGGATAGAATGAACCGGGAGCAGTTCCGCTCCACGCAGAGTGTTGATAGGTGCGTCCACCAACTTAATGGGAGTTGCTTTTTCACCTTAGGTCAGCCACCCTTTGACCTCAAGTGGACTAACACTTGGACTAGAGTTAGGCTGGTTTTGAAGACAGAAAATGTTTTACTCCTTAGCATCTTAAGATGTGGGCAGTGCTGTGGCCTCAGAGAAGGGAGAGAAGCTGAATCACTGTAGCTGGATATGAGGTTTACTCTGTTCCCAGCCCTTCTCTAACCTTTCTCCACCTCCAAGGAGCTGGAGCTCCAGGAAAGACTGCAACCCTGTGTGTAAATTTGTACGTGTCTGTGGAGGATAGTAGGAGATGTCCTGGGTTTTCTCTTTTCAACCTAGAAAACTCCTACTTGGGTAATCAGTGCACGGTCTTGGCCATGGTGCCTGCGGGACCAGGCCCCGCGCCTCCATCTCCCAGGTACACACATGCCGTCTGTCCCCAGCTTGGAATTTGTAGCTGGGATATGGGATTATAACAGTTAAGTTCAGCCCTTATGTGTTGAAAGGGAAACTAATCAACAAAATGAATGAGTGTCCACTGCTTGTGCTGAGACACAGACATAAAACAGACTAAGGTGATGTTAGTGCATGGATTTAGAAATTTCTTGAAATCGTTTGTTGATATGTACCTCTGCGTTTTCTGGCAAGAAAAGCTTTTCATTTTGCCCAATTTTTAAAGAAGCATGTGAAGCCCTTGAAAGAGCCTTCAAGGCTCTGGCTTAGCACCTGGGCATTTTGGGTTTTAATTAGAAGAGTGGTGTATATCCCGTATTGTTTAACTCACAAATTAAAAACTCAGAGGACAGAGAGGACACAGTCAGAGCCCAAAGGAGGATATGAATATGGAAAGAATCAGGAACAGGAGATCCAGGGAACAGGGCAGGTGGATTGGGGCTCATGTTTGAGAAGGTAGGAAAGGCTGGGCTGAAGGTGGGAAGAAGGCAAGCCCAGGGATCTTTAGGGGACTTGATCATAATAAGCCCCCTGGCTAATCAGTGCTTCTCTTCTTCACTTACCTTTGCTTCATAGAAAACATGTATTGGGGGTGAGGGGGACTGCTAGATGTGGTCTTGGACAGTCCTCAGGGCTGGGTTCATTGTGGGTGGTCTCAGCCCTGACTGGGACTGACCTTGCCTGGATTCACCTTGTGTTTCCATTCTGAGGTCTTCAAGCCATACCAGGCCTCCCAGCATGACATGTGCCGCTTCCACTCTGAGGACTACATCGACTTCCTGCAGAGAGTCAGCCCCACCAATATGCAGGGCTTCACTAAGAGCCTTAATGCTTTCAACGTGGGTGATGACTGGTAAGAGAACTGGGATTTTTGATGCCTGGCATTTAAGGAAAACATTTGAGTGAAGTCTTGCGGGCAGCGAGTGGGAAGATTATGAAGTGGGTCTACTTGTCAGCAAGTCATCATTTTTTTCATTGGCTTAGTTTTCTAGGTGTCAATCACTAATTCTTCCCAAACCTTTTGAGAAACTATAAAACTCCCTGCAGTTCTCTTTTCATATGGTCACATATGTCAGCTGCACTACTTTCTTGGAGACCTAAAACTAGGGATTTTTAAAAAGCTTTTCCTTTTCTAAAAGTCAGGTTTGTGAAGGTGTAATTTGCATACAGTAAAACTCACCCTTCTTAGATACATAGTTCTGAGAGTTTAGACAGAAAGGTCAGTTTTCCCGCAAAGGTCCCTCATACCCTTTGTAGTCAGTCCCTTCTCTCCATCTTAGCACCAAGCAACTACTGATCTGAGGTCTGTCCCTAAATTTCGCCTTTTCCAGAGTGGTATATAAATGGAGCCACGTGGTCTGTAACTTTTGTGTCTGGCTTTAAGACTCTCCTTTTTAGAAAGAATGAAGATGGTAATAATGATAGCCAACATTTATTAAGTGCTTACTAGATTCTACACACTGCGTTAAAGGCTTTCTGTGGGTCATCTCATCATTATTACTATTTTATGTATACTATGGGAATATAACTTTCTTTAAAATGTGTAACTATAAAGAATATTTTGAACATAGAATCTTTTAAGGAAAATAGAGCTACGTTCTCTTTCAATTTATTTCCTTTTTGTGTGTACGTTCAAGTACCTAGAAACTGCCTGCTGCTCTCCCCGGCTAGAGTCCAAACTTCCTGACAGGGTTAAATGCTTCTTTACTTCCCATCAGTGCCTTGCACAGGGCTTGGTACATGGTTTGGTCCAAAATATGTGTTGAATACATTTACAGATAATTTTGGTGTGTAGGAGGGGAAGAGAGGGTTATTGAAGACTGGAGATTGGAGGGATTTGGGTGGGAAGAGAGGTATAGGAAGGCCTAGACAGAAACAAAAGGCTCCAACTTGCTCCCCTTCCCTGCAGCCCAGTGTTTCCAGGGCTCTTTGAATTCTGCTCCCGTTATACAGGCGCATCTCTGCAAGGAGCAACCCAGCTGAACAACAAGGTGACCATAGCCCTGAATTCCCTTTCCCCTTTCTGTGGGTCCCTGGACTCAAGGTCTTGACCTTGACCCTGAACTCCCAGCTTTGCAAGTGAGCAGGAGGTGGACTGTGAGTTGGATGTTTGTCTTTCAGATCTGTGATATTGCCATTAACTGGGCTGGTGGTCTGCACCATGCCAAGAAGTTTGAGGTGAGTGAAGAAGTGATGGGGGAGATAATGGTCACCTCAGGGTCAGCGTTCAGGATAACAGTAGGGGCAGCTGGGCGGAGGTATTGTTCCTTTCTTTTTAAGACCACTGTCTTGCCATAGGCCTCTGGCTTCTGTTATGTCAATGACATTGTGATTGGCATCCTGGAACTGCTCAAGTAAGTAGTCTGGGAGGAGATGGAGGGACTTACGAGACTCTAGCTGATGAGGTCTCAGACTGCCCTGGCCCTGACCCTGACCTCCACTCCCCATATTAGCTTCTCCCAAGTTCTTTGTGCTTCACTCAGGCTGCCTCTTCCTATGCTCTGCTGCAGATTCCCTGCTGCCTGCTCACATTTCAGCCTTCTCTGCACATCCCTCTCCTGTCCCTGCCTCCAGCCTGGAGCTCCCGGGTTGCCCTTAGGGAACTGGTGGTGTTAGGTTTCAGGTGACTTGGGCCAAAGCAAGACTCTTCATAATCTCAGACCTTGCATTTGGGAGGAGTAGGTGGAGGGATTTCTTCCTGGGCTTAACCTCTGCCTCAGACCTGTCTCTACCCTCACTCCAGGTACCATCCTCGGGTGCTCTACATTGATATTGACATCCACCATGGTGACGGGGTTCAGGAAGCTTTCTACCTCACTGATCGGGTCATGACAGTGTCCTTTCACAAGTACGGAAACTACTTCTTCCCCGGCACAGGTATGGGACTAGGAATGTCCGTCCCCTTCGCACCCCTCAGCCCTTTACCATGACTGCCTCCTACGCAGCCTTCCGTTCTCTGCTCAGATGGCCCTTCCTCAGAGAAGCCTCTCCTGACCACCCAGTTAAAATAGTCACCCCCTTCCCCATTACTCTCTTACATCACTCTGCTTGTTTCTGGCAGAGCACTCACAGCTATTTGTATTTATTGTGGTGTTTTGTTTACCATCTCCCTCCTCATCATCCTCAGTCCCCAAGACAATAAGCTCGGTGGAATTTCATTCATTTTCTTAGTTCTCTTTTACTACCGTATCCCTAGTACCTAGTACACAGCTTGGCTCATAGTAGGCCCTACGAAAGTATTTGTTGACTGAATGCTAGCTTCAGGAGACTTGGTGGCTGTAGGGAGTGTGTGGTGGAGGTACATAGGTGGAGAGAGAGGCCCTCATTGTGGGTTAGGGCTGAAGCAGCTGGGTTGTGGGTGCCTCTTGTGTGTGGCTGCCAACCCCTACCTCCCGATTCCCTACAGGTGACATGTATGAAGTTGGAGCAGAGAGTGGCCGCTACTACTGCCTCAATGTGCCCTTGCGGGATGGCATTGATGACCAGAGTAAGTACTAAAGTCTTTACCCTGCTCACTGGTCCCCTTCTTTCTCTCCTTGAATTAACCTTTCTGCCTGGTATTTTCTACTGTTGGGTTAGGTGTCCTTAAGGATGAATGGCCTTCAGAGGGACCGTGAACCCCCTTCAGAAATTATATGTAACATATTATGTGTCTGTGCATTTTTCTGGGAAACGGGTCATTTGCTTCCTTCAGTCACTCAAAGGGATCTGGGGATCTCTCCTCCTTCAGAAGTTCAGAACCAATGGTTTGATTCTTTGGCTTGCCCCTTTCCTGGGCTACATGCTCTCTCAACCCCCTTTTTCCTTTTGTTCCCTGTCTCCCCATCCCCTTGGGGTGCCAGGTACCCATCTTTGGCCCTCTCCCAGGTTACAAGCACCTTTTCCAGCCAGTTATCAACCAGGTGGTGGACTTCTACCAACCTACATGCATTGTTCTCCAGGTAATACTGCCAGTGCCTAGTCAGGAGGGCACTGCCTGGGCTTAGGGTAAGAAAGCAGGGAAGAAGAGAGCCTCTGGGTTGGTGGGTAAAGGGAAATGGGGGCATCTGGGATGTTTTGCTCAGTTATCTTACCACAGCTGCTTGAGCTTTTGCTTTTTGCAGTGTGGAGCTGACTCCCTGGGCTGTGATCGATTGGGCTGCTTCAACCTCAGCATTCGAGGACACGGGTGAGACTTGTCCTCCTTCTACTCCTCCAGGTTTTCAAGTGGCCCTGGGCCTCAATACCTAGATTGGGGGTAGTTAAAGAATGGGTCTCACCTCTTTCTTGGGAGTCCAAAATAGCTACAAATTGTACTTAAACTGGAAATAGTCACTTTGAGCGGGGTTGTCCAGCTGGTCTTCATTCATAATAGGTTTTTATTAAGCACCTATTATGTTCCAGGCATTGTAGATGGGAGATGGGGATACAATGGGGACACTCCTATGGACTTGACAGTTTAGTGTAGAAAACAGACAGAAGATGAGTAAGCAAAGAAAAAAAGTAAATTGTTATAAATCGTATGAAGGGAAATGATAGAAAACTTAGGGTGACAGTGGGGAAGCTACTTTAGATAGCATGATTTGGAAAGGATTTTCTGAGTTGAAATTTGAGCTGAGACCTGGTGTCTGAAAGGAGTGACCCATAAGAGGAGCGAGAGAAGTCTGTCCCAAGTGGTGGGAAGGGCCCACGCAGAAGCTCTGAGGCAGGGGAGAGCTGGTGTAGTGGAGAAGGTGAGGTAAAACCAGTGAGGATGGGCAAAAAGCTGGCGGTGGTTTAAGATGGTTTGAGGTCTGAGAAGTCAGCAGTGGCGAGGCTGAGCAGAGCCGTCAGACTCTGGTAAGGTGTTTAGATTATATTGCAAATATGATGGGAAACCCTTGGACGATATTAAACAGGGAAGTGCTACGATCCAACTCATGTTTTCTTTCTTTCTTTATTTTGATTGTTATAAGAGCTTATTTGAGCCAAATTGATGACATGTGCTGGGGAGCAAGATCTCAGCTCCCCCAGGTCATGTTATAAAGTGACCGTTCTGACTATTGAATGGAGAAAGGTTTGGGGTGGGAGGACAGGAGCGGAAATGGAAGGACCAGCCAGTAAATGATTGGTGTTGTCTAGGCAAGAGATATGGTGCCCCGGCTAAGGTAGAGGAGGTGGTGATGGAGAAAGTAGGTGATTTGAGTTATATTTTGGTGACTAGAACTGACAGCACTTGCTAGTGCATTGATGAGAATAGTTAATTAACAGGTGGGGTGCCAGAGTGGGTGTAGAGCAAGAAAGAGGTAGGAGTGCATTGTATTTGAAAATTTTTATTGAGATGCAATATCTCTATAATAAAATGCACACATCTCAAGGATATATATAACTCAATGAATTTCACTGCCTAGGTGGAGATGGAACATTTCTAGTTCCCTCGTGCCCCTTTCCAGGCAATACCTAGAGTGTATACTTTGGCTTTTGATAACTTCCTCTACCCATTTCTCCGTTCCTTTTAACAGAGAGTGCGTTGAATATGTCAAGAGCTTCAATATCCCTCTACTGGTGCTAGGCGGTGGTGGCTATACTGTCCGAAATGTTGCCCGCTGCTGGTAAGTGTGCTCCCAGATTACCCTCTGCTCCCTTGTCTGGTGTGAGCTAGGGGCTCCTGAGGGATGGCCAGGTGGGCCCTTCCACTCACTTGCTTAGCCAGTTCCCCTCTGCTCCTTGGTTTCAGGACATATGAGACATCACTGCTGGTAGAAGAGGCCATTAGTGAGGAGCTTCCCTACAGTGGTAATGACCGCCACACCAGGAAGGCCATTTTCACAAGACCCCAGAGTGGCCTGGTTTGAAGGCAGATGGGAAATTTGAAACTCTCAAAACTGTAAATTCAACCCTAGGCTCAGAGTAGTGAAAAAATTGGGCAGCTTTTATATAGGGGTTTGGGATGGGAAGGAAAATGACTGGGAAGTCTTAGGATACACCTGTCTGAGCCATACCCTCCTCCTAACCTCCTTTTCCCTCCTAAGAATACTTTGAGTACTTTGCCCCGGACTTCACGCTCCATCCAGATGTCAGCACTCGCATTGAGAATCAGAACTCACGCCAGGTCAGCAGCTCAGAGGAGCTAAGAACAAGGGTGGGGGAGCCCTGGAGAGGTCCAGGATGTGGGAAATCAGACCAGAGATGAGAAGAAAGTTCTCAGCCATCACTATCACTGTTATCAGCCAGGAGGCAGCCCAGGTTAAAGTAGAGGCAGTTGGGGGTGTGAGGAGGGACATTGATCAGCTAGGGGACTTGAACTAGGTTTCAGAATGAAATTAAAACTAGGATGGTAGGGAGCTAGAAGGTGGATGCCCTGGGAATCAGTAGTAGCTGCTCACTCTCTGTTCCTCGTCCCCAACCAGTATCTGGACCAGATCCGCCAGACAATCTTTGAAAACCTGAAGATGCTGAACCATGCACCTAGCGTCCAGATTCATGATGTGCCAGCAGACCTCTTGACCTATGACAGGACTGATGAGGCTGATGCAGAGGAGAGGGGTCCTGAGGAGAACTATAGCAGGTCTGGAGCAGGGACTAGAGAGCGGGGATTCCAGCAGGCTTGTTGGGGAGCAGAAAAGTAAACTGAGGCATTAGCTTAGTAGTCCCTGGCTAACTTTCTTTAGTATGCCTATTCTTGGGTCTACTGCAATTTCACACTCTTTTTACTCTGTTTTTAATGACACAAGTAACATATTTCTTATAAAAATGTTAAACAGTGCCAAAATATGTTAAGTTTGCAGTCACACAATCCATACCCACAGACTAACCACTGTTAGTCTAATTTGCATCTTTTCAGATAGACTTTTTTTTATAGATGATAAGTGTACTGTTCAACATGCACAGATAAATATAAATGCACATACACACTTATTCTTGGAGTTTGTATAGTTTTGGGGCGTTTATTTATATATTTATTTTTTATTTTTAAATACAAGTTGGATTGTTCTATATGAGTTGCTCTACAGCTTAGAACTTCACTGGTTCTTTTTTTTTTTTTTTAACAAAGCAATGTGTCTTCCCATGTCAGTATACATAGATCTGCTTCATTTTATCAGTTGTATAATATACCATTGTGTGGGTGTAGCATAATTTAACCAAGTACCATTGACAGACATTTACATTAGTTCCCATTTTTTCATTATTACAAAGAATGTAACAATGAACCCCCTTACATATACATTTTTGCGTGCTTGTTTGAGTGGATTAGCTTCCTAGAATTGTTGCTGGTAGGTCAAAGGCTTTGTGCACTCAGATTTTTTATATTTAAATTCCCTTCCAAAAAGTCTATAATGGTTTATATTCTTGCCAGCAACCTACTCCTTCCAGGTTCTGAGCTGGACAGATCACTGCCCAAATACTGTTCTTTAAGGCCCTTTGATTTTTTTCCTCAGTTAATTTTTTCAGCTATGATAGTTATATTGTGGTTATTTATTTATTTTTTTTAAGTTTTTATCTTTCTAAGATACAAACTAAAATATTTACAGGTGCAGTGAATTAGGGAAAAAAGACTGGGATGGAATTTTTTTAAACCCCAAAATAGGCTTTTCTGAAAAATGAAGGGAAGAGACAACAGAACCCAAAAGTGCAGAAACATGCACTTAATAGAAAACAGATCTCCTAACATGACTGAGAGGTAACTGCAGCTGGATGCTCTCAAGACACCTGTCTAACACCCACGCAGTGTTAGAGCTTTGAGCTGGCTCTGCTGCAGAGTCCGACGAACTTCTCAGTCCCTTTTGGAATTTGTTTCTTTCAGATTTTAGGCTTCCAGGTCTGTCTGGACCTGGGCATTACCGCTCGGACCCTTAGGACCACTCTAACTCTCCATGAATACTCCTTCTTCTCACTTTTGGTTGAGGAAGTATCTGAACCTCTGGCCTCAGGGATTCCTTTTTGACCCTTCATCTCCTTCTCAACTTCTTCATGTCTTTGAGGCATGACTTCTAGAAACAGATTTTCATTCTTCCTTTTGGCAAAGCTTGGCTTATTCATCTATAGTTCCAGGCTGATATCTGGGCCCATCTCCACATTGCATCGGCCCCTCTCAACAGCCAGCAAAAAGAAGCCTCAGGCCTCTTCCTGTCCTAAGCCGTACCTCACCGTCAGACCGCCCACCAAGTTCCTGTTCTTTGATGCTTGTATCCATAGCTTGCATATCATTTGAAGAGTAGTAATAATAAGAGTCACCACTTTTGTGCGTTTGCTAAGCTCCAGACTCAATACTATGTGCTTTATATAAAAACATACATGTCATTATGTTATCATTCTGTTGCCATCAGACAACTCCAAGAGGTGGCTGTTATTCTGAAATTACCAGAGGAGGATTCTAAGGCTTATAGAGGATAAATAACTTTCTGAAGGGCCCATTGCTAATTAAATACCAGGGCTGACATTCAAACTTGAGCCTCTGACTCCACACCTTGAACCCTTGCACACTTAGAGGTAATTGAGGCATTGCTTACCAGGCAGATAGGGCCTTTCCTGACTCAGTTCCCCAACTTCTCTTTGATGAATTTCTCCCTTCTTTGTCAATTACCAGCTGTGGGCAAGATAATCCAGTTATCAGCTATTCATATTTTCCCAGAGAATAGTTTTCCAAAAAGAAAGAAAGAAGTATTGAATACTTATTGGGCCCTGTGTCACTTTCATATCCCTTCTCTTACTACAGGTTTATCATATCCTGTCACTCCTCTGCTTAAAACTCTTCTTTCCATTGCACTTAGAAGAAAATCCAAATTTCTGACCACAGCTTTAAAAGACCCTGCATGCTAGCTCTTACCTACATCCCTGGTCTGAGCTCTAACTGTTCTCCTCCACGCACACTCCTCCATACTCCCAGCCATCCTGGCCTCCTTGTTTTTATTGGAATACATCAGTCTCCTTCTACCTGATAACTTCTGTGCTTGGTTTTTTTGCAGCTCGGAATGGTCTTCCTGAGATCTTTGGCCAGCTACTTCTCAGACCTCAAGTCTTATCTTCTTAGAATAGCTTTCTCCTTTCTGAAATTTTACTCCTTTCCTCCCATCACTCTCAGTCACATTTCTCTTTATTTCATTTTATTCACAGTGCTTTCCCCCATCTGAAATTATCATATATGTAAAATGTACACACACACACACACACACACACACACACATTACTTTATTATTGTCAGTCTCACTTATTAGGTAAGTTTTTGAGGACCGACAAATTTTGTCTGACTTATTCTCTACTGTATTGCTAAGGCTTGTGACAGTGTCTGGCACAGAATAGTCTCTCAAATGTTTACTGACTACATGAATGCAGGACTGACTAATGATCAGTCTCTACTAACAGAAGGAGAAGATTGGTCTTTTGACAAAGGGGGCCTGAGAAATGGCTCCAGAGAGGGTGTCTATGTGAGAGAAGATTGGGACTTGGAAAGTGGGACTCTTACCTCTCTTACCCTTGCTTTGCAGGCCAGAGGCACCCAATGAGTTCTATGATGGAGACCATGACAATGACAAGGAAAGTGATGTGGAGATTTAAGAGCAGCTGTGTCTCAAGGAATTCCTTTTTACCTCTTGGTTGAGTGGGAGGGGAAAAGTGTAGGTTCCTTAGCCCCGGACTGGTCACTTTCGGGGCTTTTACCAATGCTAAGGGATGGTTTGGAGACCACAACTGGTTCTTAAACCAACTATCCCCTTTCTTCTCCCTTCCAAGGCCTGACAATGGTACCTATTAAGGATTGTATGGGACAAGGGTAGCTCTCTCCAGGACATCTTGAGCAGTGGGCCCTAGGTGCCAGCTACAGCCCCTCTGGCCCCCTTATTCCTTCCCTGCTTCCCTCCAATCCAGAGACTTCTAGGGAAAAAGGGGTAATCAGGACTGAGGTTGCCTCTGACTTCCTCCTCTCCTGGGTTCTCATACTGCAGTACAGTACAGGTGAAGAGTGAGAGATCTTAGGGGTCTCTGGCTCCCTAACACCTTAACTCCAGATGATGAGACATACGGTTTTGATTTGGGGGAGGATGTGAAAATATGCTGTTCTACCTTTTGGCTTTATGTCCATTTCACCACTGTTTTTATTCAATAAACCAAGTTGGTATTTTTTGTACCTTTTGTCTTTCTGAGATTATTCTTAATTACTAGCTGCCTATGTGTGAAGGGAGAAGAAATGGGGATGACGATGTATATAATAAAAATCATAACATTCAGCACTTAACTTTATGTTAGGCCCTGTGTATATATTCTACATTTATTATCTTACTCATATATAGGGAGTTAATAGAGCATTCTGGTTAAGAGTTAGAAAACCTGGTCAGATTACTAGCTTAAGAGAGGGAGTAGAAGATGACTTCAGGTTTTCAAACCTGGGTGTTTGAAATGGTGATGCTAGTTGGAGGAGGTGCACAGAGATAACATGTCAAGTACTTGCTTGGCACAGTGACTGACAATTAAGATGAGATAGTTGCTCATCTTAATTGTCTATGTGATGGACAATGCTATATACAGTAGACACAAACATGGACCCTTCCCTGAAGGAGTTTACAATCCAGTAAGGAGTGAAGTAAATGCTATAGCAGATGTAGACAGTGGTACAGGAAAGAAGAGTAATAGATGGGTTACTTTTTCATGCTTTGATCCTGTTTGTTTCCCAACACTCTTGCTTAGAAAGTAAGTAGCTTTTGAACTGTTTTGGACAAATTGAGTTCGAAATGTGGTCTGGACAGCTCTATGCAACTTTCCATCAGGCAATTAGAAAGTGGAACACAGGAGACGAAGGCCAGATTTAGGAGCCAGCCAGCTGGTCAGAGTACCTGTAAGCTGAATAGATTCAAGCCCTAGACTAAACACGGGGGGCTACAGAGCGAGTGAGTCACTGACTGCCCTCCAGGAACATGTATTTGAAATCTTGCCAGCTGTGGGCAAAATAATTCAGTCCATACTTTGAGGGGCCTGCTGGGTATCACATATTTTTCACAGAAAGAACAGATGTTGCTGAGAGAATGAATGAAATTACTAAGGAAGGAAGCAAACTAGTAGAGCAAGAAACACTCTTAGAGAACACCTGTTCTTCTCACTCAGGTTTGGTTTATGTTAGTAGGGAATCCCGGGTAAACATAGGGCTTGGCAGTCAGACAAATTTGGGTTTAAATTTTTACCAATTACGTGTACTTGGGCAAGTCACTTCAAGTCTCAAAGTTCAAATTTTCTGTGTAAAATGGTGAGACTAGTGGAAACTATGACATGGCGTTATGAGGATACAGTGAGCAAATAAATGCATGTAGAGTGTTTTATATAGTGCCTGGCATAGAGCAAATGCATTATATATCGTGACTATTGTTTAGGCATACATTGGCAATAACCGGTTTTTCTGTACTAAAAACAGAACTAGAAAGTAGTAGACCAGGGATTCAAAACTAGGTAATGTAACTGCAGGGCCAATCAAGTTCCATTTTAGCACTTGTCTTGGACCAAGCTCTGTTCTTGGCACATAGCTTTCAATAAATGTTAGCTGTCACTTTTTAATTTAAATATTGCACACATAAAAACTATTATCCTGGCATTACATTTTCTGCCAAGATAACAGTCTCATGTGAATTTTGGTTCAGATAATATCCTGGTCTGGGATTTGAGAGGGTCCAGGCTTTACAGCCACGTGGGCAGTGCATGAGAGTGGAAAGGCCAGAGCTACTTCCACCGCCAGGGGGCGCTGTTCGCGGTTGCAGCCGCAGAGAGTTGCACCGCCCACTCGTCACCCCCCCACGTGGGTCCAAATGGTTAGGCCCGCTGGGCAGGTAGCGCGCTTCCGCGGCTTCCCTCCACCCCTCTCCCTTCCCCCATTGGTAGGGGCTGCGGGTCCGGGCGGAAGTGGGGCAGGCGGGCGGGAGCAAGGCGTCGCCGTTGTATATTCATGAGGCGCGCGCAGCCCGGCATGCTAATGAGGCGGGGCGCGGCGGCGGGGTAAGAAGCTGCTGGGCGGCGGCGGACGGCTTGGATCTGCCGGGCGAGAGCGGTGGAGGTGCGTGGTCAGTAGCCAGCGCGAACCTGGACATGGAGCCTCCTGGCGGGGGCCCGGGGCCCGGCCGTGGGACCCGGGACAAGAAGAAGGGCCGGAGCCCCGACGAGCTGCCTGCGGCGGGCGGTGACGGCGGCAAATCCAAGAAATTTGTGAGTGTCCTTCCCACCCCGTTTCCTCAGCCCGGCCCGGTAACAGCCCTTTGGACCCCGGAGATCTCCGCAGCCGGCCCCAGGGGTGCACGCCTGTCTCTAGGGAGCCGCCCCCGCGCCTCTCTTTCTCGTTTTGCTGGGTCCTGGGCTCCACAGCCCAACATCCTACCCCTCCAGGACCTCGGGGAGCCCGGGAGTCCCATCCGGCTCTTGCCCCGGCAACCTTGGAGCTTCCTGCATCTCCCGCCCGCACGCTCTGCCCTCCGCCCCCATAGCCCCGGCAGGTCTCAGCCCCATCTCTTTTCTCTCAGCCCCACTTCCTTTCTTCTTTATTACCCAAACATGCCTTCTATTTCTTGGTTTTCTGTGGTTTTCTGAGTCCATTTTCTCCTGTTAGCCTCCTCCCCCCTTTTTTGGTATCTCCTTATTTGCTTCTCCTAAAGGTCACTTCCTTCTCCAAGATTGATCGCTTTCACCTGCTAACTTTCCTCCCTCCCAGTCCCCTCTTTGGGCCCTAAGCTCGGTGTCACCTGATAATCTTTTCTCTCGGGAATGTTACCTGACTTGGGCCCTACCTTCCCTCCTCCCTTGGACGTTTGTCCTTGAGATTGCCGGAATAGGTTCATGTCCAGGTCCTATGGTCACTGGGCATGACGATAATTTTCTTCCCAGTGTTTATCCAGAGAACTTGTCACTTTGCCCTGTTGCTTATCACTTTTCAGGGGGTTAGAACTTTTTTCATGATTATGCCCTTCTTGACCTAGGATGATGATAAACCTCCCCTATGGGGAGGAAGTTAGACTGCAAGTCCAAGAAGTTTGTGAGTAATTGAATTGCTTTCTTTACTTTTCCCATGATAACCATCTCCTCAACTCTTCTGCCACCTCCTGTGCCCCAAGGCTACTTGGCATCCGTTTTTCTACCTGTAGAAGAGTATAGCTTTCCTCAGGTGCCCATTACTTCCAATCGGAGTCTGAAGGAATATTGATATTCATGTAACCCTATCATATTTCATTACCTTCACCCACACTAAATCTTACTCCTCTCTCCAGAGAGCTATTTGTTTGCTTTTACTGTAAAAGCTTTGAAAGGTAGAGGGTACTGTCCAAGAGAGGGAAAGGGTCTTAGATCCTAATAATCATTTGCTAGTTGTAACTGTAGTTATTTAGTTTTCTCTTCCAGGCAATTATGCCCCCAGCTCAGTATCTCTTTTCACTAGCCAAATGGCTTCTCTTTCCCCTTTCTTTCTCTTTCCTCTTATCCCCACCCCTCAGCATACTGACTCAATGCCACAAGTTTGGGAAGAAAACTGATAGTGATGGAATCAGGAAGAAAATGTTGCTTTGGGACTTAAAGGGTTTGAGATGTGGCGACTACTAAACAGAATTAAAATAGTGATTCATCTCTTCCTACCTATTTCTAGCAAGGTAGGTGCTTCTGGACTGTCCAGTGACTTACAGGCTGTCAGAACTGTCTCTTTTTATTTGGGGAACATCTTTTTTCTCCAGAAATGTAGGGTTAATAGTAAAGATGACCCTTCCCTTATGGTGACTACAGCAACATTTTCCTATGTTTCTTTAGGGTAAGAATTACTCTCTAGATAGAGAGCTTTCCTTCTAAGATTTAAGTTCTAGGGCCCATATTCCTTCTATTTCTGTATCTTTTTGTTTTGCTCTTGTTTCCATGGGTGGTGTTTGACCTTTCTCACCCAAGTTCCAGTT